TCATTAATATTAGTAGTCGTAGTGGCAGCAGCAACAGCAGCAGTAGCCTCATTAATATTAGTAGTCGTAGTGGCAGCAGCAGCAGCAGCAGTAATAATATCCAATACACCGACGGACTAAACCGAAGACATGTAAACAGGTTATACATTTTCCTACAGCAAATCTCGAAACAGTCAGGGTGAAGCTACTAATTAGGCTCATTTGCCGAGATTGATGGCAGTTGTGGGGGTGTACCCACTCACAGGAACATCCAGGATCCAGCTGTGGGGGTGTACCCACTCGAAGGAACATCCAGGTTCCAGCTGTGGGGGTGTACCAACTCGCAGGAACATCCAGGTCCCAGCCGTGGGGTTTACCAACTCGCAGTAACATCCAGGTTCCAGCTGTGGGGGTGTACCTACTCGCAGGAACATCCAGGTCCCAGGGCTCGCTTAGTAACTACAAGGTACACGGGTTCCATTCCAGCTGCATGGGTATTTGACAGCAGACCGTTTTGCGTTGATTTTCTCAACAGTACTGAGAGCCAACAGTTCAGTGCAAAGGCAAACTACTGAACGTAAAGGTAACTAGTGAAACCAAACCAACAGGGCAAAGTCCAGATTCCCGTTCCAGCTTCAAAAAAGTTATAATGTGGTTACCTGTAACAGTTACACCCGTTTGGTGTGACCTAAATTCATGTGCGGATGATGATGATGATAATGATGATGATAATGATGTACTCCTGCATTATGCCTGCTGACTCAGATGTTTAAGACCAGTGTTCCTGGACCCTTTTACACCGGCGGCCCACCAGAACAGGTTAACATTACTTCACGGCCCACCAGAACAGGTTAACATTACTTCACGGCGCACCAGAACAGGTTAACATTACTTCACGGCGCACCAGAACAGGTTAACATTACTTCACGGCGCACCAGAACAGGTTAACATTACTTCACGGCGCACCAGAACAGGTTAACATTACTTCACGGCGCACCAGAACAGATTAACACTACTTCGCCCTTCCCCCCCCCCCCTTTTTTTTTTTTTTTTGGTCATCTGTTTGCTCTTTATTGATTAACATTTTTGTTAAGTATAGTTGGCAGTTGAATTCAGAAAAAAGAAAAAAAAAGTTTGGTGGAAACGTTTGGTTGCCTGTATTAAAATAAAACTATGTACACATACAGTGATATTCACTTTTTTTTTTTAAATCCCGTGCCACCAGTGACATCAGTTGCTTTCTACTTGACCCATTCATTATATTATTTTCAACTTTCCGGCGTACCAGAACAAGTTAACACGACTTTACAGCGCACCAGAACAAGTTAACATTACTTTGCGACCTACTTGACAATTAACAAAACTCAGAAACAAAATTGACGCGTACGACGCCATACCGACTTTGTTGTCCTTATTCCCATCCCAGGCTGGCCTACAGCCTACAGCTTAATCGAGGGGTGCCGTGATATTACTGTTTTATGCGGTTGATGGAGGTTTCCGGGAATGGTACCTGTTGGATTCTCATCCTTCAGATGTTACATCCTATATCCAGCGATCGGGGAAGAAGAAAAACTATCTACCCTACCCTACCCTACCCTACCCTACCCTTCCCTACCCTACCCTACCCTACCCTACCCTATTACATGGTTTAAGCATGCCGGTGTGTTGGGAAATGAACAGCTGGCCAGGCTGGCTGGCTCTGCACAACTTGGTGGAATACTGATGCATGCTAATGCAGACGTAGTTAAGGCTTTGTGGGAGAACGTGTACAGGTCGGAGGAGCAACAGGATCACCACAATCTGGTGAGAGTGATGCAGCGGGGAAAGGAACAGGCGGACAGACTGGCTGGCTTTGCTTAACTTGGTGGAATACTGATGCATGCTTATGCAAGGCTTTGTGGGAGAACGTGTACAGGTCGGAGGAGCAACAGGATCACCGCAATCTGGTGAGAGTGATGCAGCGGGCAGTGACAAGGAGATCTGTTCAACACTCGACGCTAACAGAAAAGTTTAAGACGGGAAATACAACCAGAATGCTACTGACACTACTGGTATTGGAACTATGCGCTGGCTGCTGAAGATGGGGACAGGGCGCTTATGGAAATTTCCCGAATGCTTTGAAGTTGATTTTTGAATCAACTCAACTTAACTTATGATTAAGCAGAAAGGTTTGGCTTGCCCATCATTTAAAACACACTGTTCTGTTCTAGACTCCACTGGGCAAAGGTCCAACCAGGTAGTTGAAGTCATAGGGAACATTACCAAATTTTCAACAACCACTACTGCTTTCCAGCCAGGTACCTGAGATTTTGTGTACAGGAAATGGCACCAAACGAACGCGGCCCTCACAAAATGGTTGGCATCTGGTTGTGAGGCTGGCGGTTGCTGTATCTCAGCGGTTCTTTAACTTTTTCGCCGCGGTACCCTTGTCGGGCTCAAACATTTTCGCGGCACACCTACCCTTGAAGCGGTTGAACAATTAAGGAAAGAATAAAAAAAACATGCAAATGTAATGTTCAGTTTTCTTTAATGCGATGAATGAAACTGTTAGGAGGAATTTTGCATTATATCTTTTTTATTTTTTTTTTTTAGAAATTCTCTCTATTATGGATGACTCTGCCTGGAGAGATAAAGCCTTTATGTACTAAATCAAAATGATTGCATTCCAGATTTGTCTGTAATTTAGACGGAACCAGACAGCTGTTAGCAACACTTCTATGACAGTTAACGCATTGCTCTTTCCGTGCATGTTCATTTCCAACCGAAACAAGGCTAAACATAGAAAGGTAGGCGCTTCTTTGAATCGTTCCCCAAAATGGCGGCTTTAATATGATGGCGTTCAAAAAAGAAGCTAAATTGGCCCATTTCTGGCCATAAAATATCCAAAAATATCCGAATGCGGGGTCAACTCTATTAAAAATATATGTGCCGGCTCCGAATAACGAAACAAATGCTCTGACAGGGTCTGGGCGATACGTTGCTTGCCGACCTGCTTCTGCGAGTGTGCCTCACCGCCGAGCGTATCCCTGGCGCCGCTACGCGCGGCGCGGATGGGGGCTAAACTAGATGGCTGGGACTCACGAGTGGCAGCTACCGCATCTCCTGCAACTTCCTCCAATTACTGTACTCGTGAGTCCCAGGCACCTAGATACGCTCGGCGATAAGTTTAATCGCGTTTGGCGCATGCCGACAAGTCTGACATCTACCGCTGCTAAATCCTCCAATCAGAAGAACACAGTATTGCTAATCGTTTTCATCGTCTGTAATGTCTCGAAATTGGTCAACGATATCTAATATCGTCTGCTAGTATCGGAGTCGCAGAAACGCTCGAAATTGTTGTCAACGGTCTGTATTTATCGTCTGCTACTAGTACCGTGTGCAATGTTAATAGTGATTGTCAAGTAATCCTAGTTTTGCCGCGATTATTTGTCCCTTTGCAGACAGTCCGTATTTTAGATATACGGGAACACCGTCTTTCGGATATTTTTGGATATTTTATGGCCAGAATGTGGCATGCTGCCATTTTGGGGAATGGATCAAAGTAGCCGAAAGGTAGCTAGGATAATACCAGTTTGAGAACCTCTGGTGTATCTGACATCTTTAACGCCATATTGTTTGAAGGGAGATAAACCTAACAAAGGTGCTCATTGAGTTGACTTCCTTCCCCAAGGGCAGCAATTCGGCATTTTTTTGGTGTTGGCATTTCTATTCATCATGATACAATATGGCCCCTGTTGTATCGTGTTCTATTATAGCTTACCGGGTATTTTAAACTGGTTGTCTACATAGTTATGTAAGCTTCATTTCTCTTGAATACAGTTCACACAGAAAGTTGCACACGGAAATGGTGACTATCTTTTAACAAAGGCAGCACTACTACAGATAAATATTTCATAAAAAACCCTACCTGTTGGGACTTCAGGTTACCTTGGTATCTCGATATACGTACGCTTTTGTATACATCCTATTTTAATACGAACGTGTAAATAGGTCACAAGGTGGCGAGCTATCTTTGTTTTCTTCTTTCGAGACAACACCATCCATATATATGGCCATGACTTTGAGTACAAGTATCGCTTCAACAAAGCTCGAACAATCTGAACGACCAGACAGAACCAGGTTTCTGAAATATCCCGAGAAGATGACAGAAGCAAAGTTCTTTGGGCAGATTTTTCCATCGTTCTGTAAGAGCGAAAATTGTAAAGGAAGAAAGCTGGGCTCCTATCTATACTACGTCTAGTCTTACTATGGAGATGTTCTTCTTTCTTCTTCTTCTGAAAGTCCATGCCGTGTGGTGTTTGTAGTCATGTCTATCCACAACCTTCCGTCTTAGGTACTTTCAATCAGCTCTTACAAAATGTGAAGTTGAAAATCTCAAAAGGTATTTCAGGATCCTCGCCGGTTCTTCTGAGTTCGTGCATGGCGCTGAGATTTTTCTGATTCATCCTTGAGTTAGAAGTAGAACGGAGCACTTATGAGTTACTACCCTCAAGACGTAATGTTGATCCGTCGTCTAAACCTAAATAACCAACCAGATAACTAATTAACTAGCTAACTAACTAACTGACTGACTAACTAACTAACTAACTAACTAACTAACTAACTAACTAACTAACTAACTAACTAACTAACTAACTAACTAACTAACTAACTAACTAACTAACTAACTAACTAACTAACTAACTAACTAACTAACTAACTAACTAACTAACTAACTAACTAACTAACTAACTAACTAACTGACTAACTGACTGACTGACTAGTTAACTAACTAGCTAACTAACTAGCTAACTAACTATCGAACGAACGAACTAACGAACTAACTAACTAACGAACGAACGAACGAAAGAACTAACGAACTAACGAACTAAATAATTAACTAACTAAATATGACTGTGTTATCTGAACAATATGTTGGTTTGGCTAATGGCTTGTAGATGTATCACTGTACTTATGAATTTATTTCCTGTTGGTTCCTCAACAGTAAACATTGTTTGTTTTCGTCTGTACAGACAACTGACATGGAAACAGAGGAAAGAAATGGCATCATTGACTACAATGTGCCACCTCCGCAACCTGTGGGCATCTACGGCTGGAGGAAGCGATGCCTCTATGCCTTTCTCTTGTCTCTCATGGTTGTAGTGGTCATTAACCTAGCTTTGACGGTGTGGATTCTTCGCGTGCTGGACTTTTCTTTGGTAAGTTTGATCTCCTTGTCTTTCTGTGGTGAGTCCATGTTTGACTTGAGCATCTTTACTGAATGTGAGACTATGTAGCGTATCTCTGATGAGTGTGCGTCTAGTGAATGTTTCTTTGGGTTGAGTGTACATTTATTTTGAATATCAAGGAACTTTTGCTGGTAAACGTCATCTTAACTGAAGCATTGTGGGCATATCAAACGCCACGGCGGACTGGAGAGAATTGTAGCAGTAGTTGTGGTGCCAGGAAAGAGGGGCAGGGTCTGATCAGCATCAAGATGAGCACAGGATATAAGTGACTCCTTGGGTGGGAAAGTGCATGAGGCGCAGGATGTGGCGAGAGATTGTTTATCTCAGGCCGGCTTTGTTGGATAGATAAGGGCGACCTTCTGCAAAAGACCTGAGCAAAGAAAAATACTCACAATTTTAAAACTATAAATGGTTGTACAAAGGACGTTATGTTGAGAAGCTCGCTCTCCTAGGATATACGCCTGGACAAATCAGAAGGAGCTGAAATCCAGGAGGAATGAGCAGTCTGACATGGAGGATAGACGCATTAGGCCCAAAGACGGCGCAAATACTAGGACTTTAGCCACGACAGTGGTGCAAATAAACAAGACCACAAATATAGCCAGAGACTGACTGACTGACTTTCTACCCCACCAGGACATCACACAAGCGATAAACACCCGATGACACAAAGTGCCACCATGCGGATGAGGATCGCCGTGGAGAGGTCCCAGAAACCGCGTCCAGACATCTGGCCATATTTATGGCCTGCCTATATTGCGGCCCCCGGCAAAAGCCAGAGTAGGGCTTCAAATGACAAAAAATTTCGTCCTGAAAAGGACCAAACTGTTTCAAAGCCAGAGACGACTGACTGACTGACTTTCTACCCCACCAGGACATCACACAAGCGATAAACACCCGATGACACAAAGTGCCACCATGCGGATGAGGATCACCGTGGAGAGGTCCCAGAAACCGCGTTCAGACATTTGGCCATAATAATGACCTGCCTATATTGCGGCCCCTGGCAAAAGCCAGAGTGGGGCTTCAAATAACAAAAAATTACGTCCTAAGAAGGACGTAAATGAAATAAAGCCAGAGACTGTTGACGGCTTTGGTTAGCTAGCAGCAGGTTGTACGTGGTTGAGTTTTTGATTTTTGCCTAAAAGGAATTGGAATTTGAAAGGACCCGTGATATGGTGAGGATATCTGTGTTGAATTTTTGACTAATTATTGTGACTGAAGAACAAATCTTTGGTGCCTGTATCTTCTTCATTTTTCTATCCTTTATACCTCAGTGGAGCATAAGCCCTCAACCAACTCATGCAATGTCAAATTCTGTCCCTTGCTGTCACCCTCAGTTCACCATATATATCCTCCGCATTCTTTTAACTTCACTGTCTAGTTCCATTTTGTTTGTGCGTGTGTTTTGTTGCTTGTATTCCTTTCGCCCTTTTGATTCGCTGGTAAATGTGTCAGTAATAAATGTATGCTTAGTGAATCCATTCTTTGGTGGATGTATCTTTGGTTATGGCATGATTTGTTTGTATTCTTTCTTCTGCTTCTTCTTGTGTCGACTCACTGATACCAGGTTGTAACTCAGTGTCGTGGTTTTTGGCATTTGTCTTGTGCTTCTCGGGTGGCTTGAGTGATGGATTTGTTCAACTTTTTTGCAGGTTTTATCTACACCATTTATCCATCTCTTTCTTGGTCTTCCTCTCTCCTTCCTCCCAGATATTCTACTGTAGAAAGTCTGATTTGCAGTCTGGTCTGGCTGCATTCTCACTAGATGGCCGAACCATTCCATACTTTGTCTGTCGATATAAACCAGCCAGGTTCTTATTCCAACTTTCTCTCTAATGGTGGTATTCATAACCCTGTCTCTGCTTGTGTTGTTAGTGACCTTGCGCAGGCAGCACATTTCACATGTAGTTATTTTCTGTTCTAGTTCCCTATTTATTGTCCATGGTTGGCACTGATAGCATAAAGTAGGTATAAAGAGAATATAAATCATTGGCTGTTTTACTAGAAGGGAAACATTTGGGTGTCTAAGCAGCGGGGCTAACTGGTAGGTGACAGCATTTGCCTTCTGTACTCTGGCTTCTGTCTCTATCGAGTCTGCCATCCTCCGTAAATATGCTTCATAGATATTTGAATTCTCGTACTTGTTTGACTGTAGTACCGTTAACATGAACGTTTATGATATTATTTGTCCTGCCTGTCCTCATTACCTCAGTTTTCGCGGTATTTATTCTCATATCATATTTTGTGCAGGCTTGATGTCAGAAGTCAATATGGTGTGGTCAATTCTATTCTTTGTTTTTGTATCCTTTAATAGGTTCTTTTTTAAAATGCCTTTATATATTCGTCTGTCTGTCTGTCTGTCTGTCTGTCTGTCTGTCTGTCTGTCTGTCTGTCTGTCTGTCTGTCTGTCTGTCTGTCTGTCTGTCTGTCTGTCTGTCTGTCTGTCTGTCTGTCTGTCTGTCTGTCTGTCTGTCTGTCTGTCTGTCTGTCTGTCTGTCTGTCTGTCTGTCTGTCTGTCTGTCTGTCTGTCTGTCTGTCTGTCTGTCTGTCTGTCTGTCTGTCTGTCTGTCTGTCTGTCTGTCTGTCTGTCTGTCTGTCTGTCTGTCTGTCTGTCTGTCTGTCTGTCTGTCTGTCTGTCTGTCTGTCTGTCTGTCTGTCTGTCTGTCTGTCTGTCTGTCTGTCTGTCTGTCTGTTTCTTTATATAAAAAAACACGAGCACATCCTGACAGCCTTTATTGTGAACATTCAGACTTCTTCTTTCAATATATTTTCTTAAACATGTTGATTTGTGAATTTGTTGAAGTAACCTAGGTTAATCCACACCCGTTGGTACATTTTTGTTGTGTTGGTTGTTCCAACAGGATGGGATGGGCCGGCTGAAGATCACCCCGAAAGGGTTCCGTTTGCAGGGAGAGGCAGAGTTTTTGAAGCCCGTCTATGTGGACCGGCTCAAATCCGAAGAGGTAGGAGACATATATTTCTTGTGGCATTTAGGCTGGCAAAGTGGTAGACGTGTGTCAGTGATTAGAGGTATCAGGGATACATAATTGTCACTGATACAAATGTCAATCACAGGTGTCAGGATGGATGTCAGTGATGACTGTCATTTATATGTCAGTCGTGGAAGTAAATAAAAGATGTCAATGATGGTTGTCATGTAGATGTCAATCACAGATGTCAATGATGGTTGTCATTTAGATGTCAATCACAGATGTCAGCTATGGTTGTCATTTAGATATGAATCACAGAGGTCAATCACAGATGTCAATAACAGATGTCAGTCACAGATGTCAGCGATGTTTGTCATTCAGATGTCAATCTCAGATGTCAGGTATGGTTGTCATTTAGATTTCAGTCATTGATATCAGTGATAGTTATCAGTGATGACTGTCAGTAACAGATGCCATTCATTGATGTCATTAATAGATGTTATCATTTTTGAATTGTCACAATGCAATAGATTTGTAACCATTGTCACAATAACTGACCTCACATTGTATGTATCTCCATGACAGGGCAAAGACTTATACATTCAGTCCAGCAAAGCAGTAAAGCTTCTGGCTGTTGACCACAACAAGAGAATTACCAGTAAGGTGGTCATTGGTAAGTGACATTTTACCAATTTAGGATTGGTAAGAGACCCTTGACAGATATAGAATTTGTAAGAGACCCTTGACAGATATAGGATTGCTAAGGGACACCTTGCAAATATTGGATTGGTTAGTGACATTTTTTTTACAGATATGATGGTTAAAGTGACATTTTACAAACACTTGATTTGTATGAGAAACGTTAGAAATATAGGTTTAGTAAGTGACACTTTACAAATTCGGGACTGGTGTGGTAAGTGACACTTTACAAGCATAGTATTGGTAAGTGATAAAAGAAACACCTTACAATTATAGAAGGTAAAGGGAACATCACCATTATAGAATTGATGTGTGACACTTTACAACTATAGGATTGGCAAGTGACACTTTACAACTATAGGATTGGCAAGTGACACTTTACAACTTTAGGATTGACAAGTGACACTTTACAACTGTAGGATTGGCAAGTGACACTTTACAACTATAGGACTGGCAAGTGACACTTTACAACTATATGATTGTCAAATGACACTTTACAACTATAGGATTGGCAAGTGACACTTTACAACTATAGGACTGGCAAGTGACACTTTACAACTGTAGGATTGGCAAGTGACACTTTACAACTGTAGGATTGGCAAGTTATACTTTAGAACTATAGGATTGGCAAGTGACACTTTACAACTGTCGGATTGGCAAGTGACACTTTACAAACATAGGACTGGTAAATAACATAAGTTAAAAAAAAAAAAAAGGCAGTTGCCTATCCTTTACAGGACATTGTAGAAGCAAACCCAGAATTTGTTGGTTGTTGTACTTTTTCTAGGCATATTTACATCCAGTAGTTTGACATTGCTTTTTGGATGTTGGTTTCTTGATACCACTGTCGAAACCAATGCAAGGCCAACAGCTGGGATTGAACCAGGCACCCTGGCATTATGAAGCGCGATTGCTATGCCTAAGCTACAGAAAATTATGTAAGAGACTTTACAGTTATGGAATTCTGGAACTTCTTATAAACATCAAAAACAAATTGTGACTGTGTTTGAATAGGCATCCTTCTCTGGTCAGTAACTTCCCAGATGTCTTGGGAGGAGCATTTCTTTATCTAAAATTCCTGCTCTTTAACAGCAGTGATTATTTCCAGCAGCTTGCGAAAAGTAGTTTGGAGAATAAACCCTTGGGTTCTTGTACCTATGATCCATAACACAGATAAGCTACAGAACATTTAAGTTGGAAGAATGTTCAAACAGGGTGTTTGTAAAGTCTTACTACACTTTGTGTGTAGAAAAAATATGAAAAACGAAGTACATGACATCATCAAAAAAATATGCTCCACAGTCAATCCTGAAGCAATATGCGGTTAATGACTGTCGTCTGCTGGAGTAATTTTTTGCACTCAAAACAGATTGGTGTTATAAATGGAAGAAATAATTGTGTGGAATGAATAGGTGGTTCAAAATGGCGGTCGATAGACATGGATGGTTACAAAAGCTATTTGACAAAATGAAGAGACATGTACAGTCATATCTTGAAGCCTGTAGTTGACATTTCCAGCATCTTGTTATAATGAATATTTCACCAGTACTTTCAAATTTTCCCAAAACAGTGTAAAATCATAGCAGTGACTATTTCAACTAATTTAATCACTTTTGATGACATTATGTACTTGTTTTTTGATTTTTTTTTAAATTTGTTCTGCATGCAAAGTGTAGAAAGAATTTACAAACACCATGTAGATCAAGTAGCCAAGAAACTGTAGACAGTATGACAACCAAGAGAAGATGGAAATGGCTTGGCCACGTTATGAGAATGAATTTTGATATACCTGCCAAAACAGCTTTCACATGGACACCAGAGGGAAAGAGAAAAAAGGGGCGCCCAAAAACAACATGGAGACGAACGATGGAAAGGGACCTGAGTGCTGCATCTTTGACATGGAAAACTGCACTGAAGATTGCACAGGACAGGAAAGCATAGAAAGTCTTCTCTGAAGCCTCACGTGCCACTAGGCATAAAGAGAACTAATGTAGATCAATTAATTAGGAAACAAAATATTGTATGCCTAACACAGAATTTGTCACGTCACCCCTGGCAGGACAGAACAATATAACGGCAAAGTGTGATGAGTTTGTGGTAGAAGACTCACGGGGAAATAGAAATTTACTCATCTCTAAAAACAAGGTCACCCTGGGGACTGGAGATGTATCATTTCCTGGTGAGTACAGTGTCGCCATCATCATCATTATCATCATCATCATCATCATCATCATCATCATCATCATCATCATCATCATCATCATCATTATCATCATCCTTTATCATAATCATGATCATCATCTTTATCATCAGCATCATCTTCTTCATTGTTGTCATCATCATCATCATCATCATCTTCTTATTCTTCTTCATTGTTGTCATCATCATCATCATCTTCTTCTTCTTCATTGTTGTCATCATCATCATCATCTTCTTCTTTATTGTTGTCATCGTCATCATCATCATCATCAGCATCATTTGTTTCTTCTTCTGCATTGTTGTCATCATCATTGTCGCTGCCATCATCATCGCTGTCATTGTCGTCATCATTATCAACAACATCAGCACCATCACTATAGAACAGAATAAGCTAAACTAACAACCAGGACACATTGAGCTAATGTAAAAACAACAGAAAAAATGTATCTGATAGAAGAAAGTAAAACCAAGTACGCTTTCTATGGGGTAACTAACAAAAGTATAGTAAGCTGCTTGGTATAGAATGAGTTAATGCACTTGCCATGGGAGATGGAGCACCTATGTTTATGCCTGGTGTGCTGTGATATCTATTTGTAAATAGAGACTGCAGCTGTCACAGGAACCCTGGCATGGCTGATGGAAAAGAAAGCAATTAATGCATTGACAGTAACAGATACAATGAGCATGTTTACGAAAATCCAAACTGGTGAACCCTGCCTAGAATGGATTACCAGCAAAAGAAGTTTCATCACAAGAAACTAGATTGGCTGTAAACACGAGGACGTGTCAGAGTGCAATGAAATTAAAGATCCGACAGATTGGCTATGCTTCCATTGGTTAGTGAAGGAAGAAGTATGGACAGGGCAGACGTATTGAATGCATTGAGTTCTAGAGACTTTGAGACATATTGGAAATTGGTGTTAAAGAAGAACAAGAGTGGAGGAACGGGCTGGAAGCACAGAAAGAATGACTACCAGTCAGTTACTAAAAGGAACAGTAAATGAGCACAGTGACACTTGAATGGCTGCTGCAACAGAAGATGGAGCATGGATGGGTCAAACCTCAAGTTTACACAGCAGATAATGCTTTCTACCTCATGTACAATGGAAGATGTAGCATAAATGGGTCAGATCACAGTTTACACAGTAGATAATGCTTTCTGCCTCATGTGCAATGGAAGATGTAGCATAAATGGGTCAGACCACAGTTTACACAGTAGATAATGCTTTCTGCCTCATGTACAATGGAAGATGTAGCATGAATGGGTCAGATCACAAGTTACACAGCAGATAATGCTTTCTACCTCATGTGCAATGGAAGATGCAGCATGAATGGGTCAGATCTCAAATTACACAGCAGATAAAGCTTTCTTCCTCATGTACAACGGAAGATGTAGCATGAATGGGTCAGATCACAAGTTTACACAGCAGATAATGCTTTCTTCCTCATGTACAATGGAAGATGTAGCATGAATAGGTCAGACCACAAGTTTTCACAGCAGATAATGCTTTCTGCCTCATGTACAACGGAAGATGTAGCATGAATAGGTCAGACCACAAGTTTTCACAGCAGATAAAGCTTTCTACCTCATGTACAATGGAAGATGTAGCATGAATAGGTCAGATCACAAGTTTACACAGCAGATAATGCTTTCTTCCTCATGTACAACGGAAGATGTAGCATGAATGGGTCAGATCACAAGTTTACACAGCAGATAATGCTTTCTTCCTCATGTACAACGGAAGATGTAGCATGAATGGGTCAGATCACAAGTTTACACAGCAGATAAAGCTTTCTTCCTCATGTACAATGGAAGATGTAGCATGAATAGGTCAGATCACAAGTTTTCACAGCAGATAAAGCTTTCTACCTCATGTACAACGGAAGATGTAGCATGAATGGGTCAGATCACAAGTTTTCACAGCAGATAATGCTTTCTTCCTCATGTACAACGGAAGATGTAGCATGAATAGGTCAGACCACAAGTTTTCACAGCAGATAAAGCTTTCTACCTCATGTACAATGGAAGATGTAGCATGAATAGGTCAGATCACAAGTTTACACAGCAGATAATGCTTTCTTCCTCATGTACAACGGAAGATGTAGCATGAATGGGTCAGATCACAAGTTTACACAGCAGATAATGCTTTCTTCCTCATGTACAACGGAAGATGTAGCATGAATGGGTCAGATCACAAGTTTACACAGCAGATAAAGCTTTCTTCCTCATGTACAATGGAAGATGTAGCATGAATAGGTCAGATCACAAGTTTTCACAGCAGATAAAGCTTTCTACCTCATGTACAACGGAAGATGTAGCATGAATGGGTCAGATCACAAGTTTTCACAGCAGATAATGCTTTCTTCCTCATGTACAACGGAAGATGTAGCATGAATGGGTCAGATCACAAGTTTACACAGCAGATAAAGCTTTCTTCCTCATGTACAACGGAAGATGTAGCATGAATAGGTCAGACCACAAGTTTTCACAGCAGATAAAGCTTTCTTCCTCATGTACAACGGAAGATGTAGCATGAATAGGTCAGACCACAAGTTTTCACAGCAGATAAAGCTTTCTACCTCATGTACAATGGAAGATGTAGCATGAATAGGTCAGATCACAAGTTTACACAGCAGATAATGCTTTCTTCCTCATGTACAACGGAAGATGTAGCATGAATGGGTCAGATCACAAGTTTACACAGCAGATAAAGCTTTCTTCCTCATGTACAATGGAAGATGTAGCATGAATAGGTCAGATCACAAGTTTTCACAGCAGATAAAGCTTTCTACCTCATGTACAACGGAAGATGTAGCATGAATGGGTCAGATCACAAGTTTTCACAGCAGATAATGCTTTCTTCCTCATGTACAACGGAAGATGTAGCATGAATGGGTCAGATCACAAGTTTACACAGCAGATAAAGCTTTCTTCCTCATGTACAACGGAAGATGTAGCATGAATAGGTCAGATCACAAGTTACACAGCAGATAATGCTTTCTGCCTCATGTGCAACGGAAGATGTAGCATGAATAGGTCAGATCACAAGTTACACAGCAGATAATGCTTTCTGCCTCATGTGCAACGGAAGATGTAGCATGAATAGGTCAGATCACAAGTTACACAGCAGATAATGCTTTCTGCCTCATGTGCAACGGAAGATGTAGCATGAATAGGTCAGATCACAGTTTACACAGTAGATAATGCTTTTCTGCCTCATGTGCAACGGAAGATGTAGCATGAATAGGTCAGATCACAAGTTACACAGCAGATAATGCTTTCTGCCTCATGTGCAACGGAAGATGTAGCATGAATAGGTCAGATCACAGTTTACACAGTAGATAATGCTTTCTGCCTCATGTGCAACGGAAGATGTAGCATGAATAGGTCAGATCACAAGTTACACAGCAGATAATGCTTTCTGCCTCATGTGCAACGGAAGATGTAGCATGAATAGGTCAGATCACAAGTTACACAGCAGATAATGCTTTCTGCCTCATGTGCAACGGAAGATGTAGCATGAATAGGTCAGATCACAGTTTACACAGTAGATAATGCTTTCTGCCTCATGTGCAACGGAAGATGTAGCATGAATAGGTCAGATCACAAGTTACACAGCAGATAATGCTTTCTGCCTCATGTGCAACGGAAGATGTAGCATGAATAGGTCAGATCACAGTTTACACAGTAGATAATGCTTTCTGCCTCATGTGCAACGGAAAATGTAGCATGAATAGGTCAGATCACAAGTTACACAGCAGATAATGCTTTCTGCCTCATGTGCAATGGAAGATGCAGCATGGATAGGTCAGATCACAGTTTACACAGTAGATAATGCTTTCTGCCTCATGTGCAACGGAAGATGTAGCATGAATAGGTCAGACCACAAGTTTACACAGCAGATAATGCTTTCTGCCTCATGTGCAATGGAAGATGTAGCATGAATAGGTCAGATCACAAGTTACACAGCAGATAATGCTTTCTGCCTCATGTGCAACGGAAGATGTAGCATGAATAGGTCAGATCACAGTTTACACAGTAGATAATGCTTTCTGCCTCATGTGCAACGGAAGATGTAGCATGAATAGGTCAGATCACAAGTTACACAGCAGATAATGCTTTCTGCCTCATGTGCAATGGAAGATGCAGCATGAATAGGTCAGATCACAAGTTTACACAGTAGATAATGCTTTCTGCCTCATGTGCAACGGAAGATGCAGCATGAATAGGTCAGACCACAAGTTTACACAGCAGATAATGCTTTCTGCCTCATGTGCAACGGAAGATGCAGCATGAATAGGTCAGATCACAAGTTACACAGCAGATAATGCTTTCTGCCTCATGTGCAATGGAAGATGCAGCATGGATAGGTCAGACCACAAGTTTACACAGCAGATAATGCTTTCTGCCTCATGTGCAACGGAAGATGTAGCATGAATAGGTCAGACCACAAGTTTACACAGCAGATAATGCTTTCTGCCTCATGTCTCAAAATATGCAAGTTTGTTTCTGATGTAATTCTATTAGATATTCACCAACATAATAAAAGTCTATTCTGTGTTTCAGGGGAGATAACATTGGATGGTTCTATCCGCACACCAAACATCATTAGTCCAGAGAAAAAGCCACTGGAGTGAGTTGATGTTTGTGGATTGGGGATTTGTGTATTTATTAGAAGTTTATATCATGGGTTTGATATGTCTTTGTGTACTTTATGTACACTATAACGTACTGTATCTTAGATTGGTGGCATAGGATGTTGGACTGACAGACAGACAGATAATCAGACAGGCATATGGGAGGACTAAAGACCGCTTAAAGATACCTGATACACCCTAGAGATCCTAATGTGGTTTTGAAACCCCATTTCTGAGGGAAAAGGATACTGTGCCTTACCTCCCAGTACATCCAATATAAGAAGTACATATATTTTATAGACCAATCAACACAAGGTGGGTGATGTGGTAAAGTCAAAGACAGATGATAATGATGATGATGATGATTAAGAACAAGAAGAAGAACAAGAAGAAGCAGCAGCAGTAGCAGCAGTGCTGTAGTAGCAGCAACAGCTACAAAGTGTTGGTTGCATAAAATGTTTCCTGTAGGAAGTGCTGCCAGTGTGAACTGTTGCCTGCATAAAGTGCTACCAGTGTGAACTGTTGCCTGGCTAAAGTGTTGCATGTGTGAACTGTTGCCTGGCTAAAGCGTTGCATGTGTGAAGTATTGTCTGTATGAATTGTTGAATGTTTGAAGTATTGTCTTTTGAAATGCTTTTTGTATGAAGTATGGTCTGTATGAAGTGTTGCATGTATGAAGTATTACATGTGAAGTATTGTGTGTATGAAGTGTGCGTGTATATAGTATTGTGTGTGTCAAGTATTACATGTATGAAGTATGGTCTGTATGAAGTGTTGCATGTATGAAGTATTACATGTGAAGTATTGTCTGTATGAAGTGTGCGTGTATATAGTATTGTTTGTGTCAAGTATTACATGTATGAAGCATTGACTGTATGAAGCATTGTCTGTATGCCTACATAAAATGTTGAATTTAAGTTTGAACGTTGTGTCGCCAGAATTCGTTCAGACACAAGCAAAATTCAAATTAGTGGTACAGCTGGTGTCAGCGTCAACGCCCAAGCTGGCAACACCACAATTAGGGCCACAGACAACATCATGATTGTCTCCACCGCAGGCTCAGTAAGTTTTTCTATCACATTTGTCGTGTCCATCAGGAGAAAAGGAAAGATAAGATGATAATGATGATGTAGAAGAAGAAGAAAAAGAAGAAGAAGAAGAAGAAGAAGAAGAAGAAGAAGAAGAAGAAGAAGAAGAAGAAGAAGAAGAAGAAGAAGAAGAAGAAGAAGAAGAAGAAGAAGCAGCAGCAGCAGCAGCAGCAGCAGCAGCAGCAGCAGCAGGAGGAGGAGGAGGAGGAGGAAGAAGAAGAGAAGAAGAAGAAGAAGAAGAAGAAGAAGAAGAAGAAGAAGAAGAAGAAGAAGAAGAAGAAGAAGAAGAAGAAGAAGAAGAAGAAGAAGAAGAAGAAGAAGAAGAAGAAGAAGAAGAAGAAGAAGAAGAAGAAGAAGAAGAAGAAGAAGAAGAACAACAACAACAACAACAACAACAACAACAACAACAACAACAACAACAACAACAAGAATCAGCAGCAACAGCAGGAAGAAGAGGGAGATGAAGAAGGCTGGATGCCATATGTCTAAATGCAGGCATGCGCCAATTAAAACATAGCTGCACATATTTGTGTTTGCCAACCTGTCTTCCCCTGACGCTCTCTCCATCTGCCTCTATGTCTGTAACTTTTATGTCTCTCCCTCTTCCACTTTCTTTCTCCCTCTTCCTATTCTCTCTCCATCTTCCCCTTTCTCTCTTTCCTTCCCTTTCTCTCTTTCCCTCCCTTTCTATCTCTCCCTTTCTCTCTCTTCCTTTCTCTCTCTCCCTTTCTTTCTCTCTCTCTACCTTTTCTCTCTCTCTCTCTCTCTCTCTCTCTCTCTCTCTCTCTCTCTCTCTCTCTCTCTCTCTCTCTCTCTCTTCTCAACGTGACAACATACAATCAATGTTGTATTTTCATTCACATTCTTGACAATTAATCAGTAAAGTAGTTTTCCAGTGGAAGGTCAGAAAATCATTATTCCTTAGGAAACCACAAACTAACCACAAGACATATAAGACATGTATGTACAACTGACGGCCCCCAGGCCACATCTGGCCCATAGAGGCCCAGCAAGTGGCCCACGGATTGTGGTGAATTATTTTGAATGAATGATTGTCTCATGCTGAGGCTTGAGCTTTTGGTTGTCATATTCCTCATTTTCAACAACGTTTTGGTCCCTGATAACTTAGAATAATAGCCCTGATGTAAATCGTATCAATGTCAAACATGAGCGCTGTCTTCAGAAGACAGAAGGAAAATGCTCATGACAGAAACTAAATGTTTTTGTACCATGTTAGGTGTAACGCGGAAAGATGGACATAGGAAAGCTGATATCAGAAGGAGAATCGGCACAGAATCAATAGTGAACTTAATAGGTAGACAACAAATCAAGTGGTTTGGCCAAGTAACAAGACTGGCATCAGACAGGGCACCACAGAGAGCAATGTTATACAGATACAAGAGTAACAAAGCCGGAGGTCAAACACGCAGAAGGTTGACACTGAAAATTACTTTATTCGAAGCGAACAGAAAGGCCCGTCCAAAACAGATCTCTTCCTACTCTGACACACCTAGCAATTCCAGGAATAGAGAAATAAGATGAAGAAGAAGTAATTCATACTGTAACCAAATCTAGGAAACAAGAAAACAGTATTACAGACTAATGCATTCTTAACATGAATTTTTCAGATTCAAATCAACAGTCCTAATATCCTCTTGCAAGGACTACCCAGGGCTGATCCGTCCTTACTGTCCTACTCAGCAATGCCATCAACGTCATCATCATCATCATTGCCAGTTTACCAGCTTTGTGTCTGTGAAAATGGTCGAGTGTTTCTTGGACTGCCCATGGGAGATTGCCGGAGCTCGTCCCAGCTGTGCTCCAGCTCACATCCCTGATCTTGTAGCTTCCAGTTCTGGGCTATTTTAGGCATCAATGGAAATATCTCATCAACTGGAATCTGTGTCTACATGAGTGTATTTGTATAAGTGTCTGTGTATGAATGTACCAGTGTACATATATGTAAATGTATATCTATGGGTACATCATATGTGTGCCCGTGTGTCTGTCTTGATTGCCTGGTTAATTGGTTGATTGTCTGTTGCTATGTTTGTTTGTTTTCATGTTATCACCCGACATCACTGACTGCACGTGTGTCATTCCCATGAGTGCTCACTCTTCCCATCAAGCAGCCAGCCTAATGTGCTTCTACCAAACGAGAAGTTGGTTACAGTCTTCTACCCTGACTTTAAAGACAGCACTAACATGCTTCACTCTGAGGTCATGCAATCCTGTTAGCATCAGAGATTCATTACAGTCTAGTTCGTATAGTGTTGCTGATATCTGCTCTGTCCATGCATCTTCAAATACTCTGCGGTGCAATGCTTGCCACATGGTGTGCTCCCTTGTGACTGTTTGTTTGTGTTAGTGTGTTCATGTGACTGTATCTATGCTGTGTTTGTCTATATAAGTGTATATATCTGTAAATGCATATCTATGGGTTCATCATGCATTCGTGTGTCTGGGTAAGTATGTGTAAGTGTGTAAGTATGTGTAAGTGTGTAAGTATGTGTAAGTGTGTAAGTATGTGTAAGTGTGTAAGTATGTGTAAGTGTGTAAGTATGTGTAAGTATGTGTAAGTATGTAAGTATGTGTAAGTGTGTAAGTATGTGTAAGTGTGTAAGTATGTGTAAGTGTGTAAGTATGTGTCTGTGCTGATTGCCAGGCTGGTTGGGTGACTGGGAGTCCTCTGGAAAACCATGAGATGTTTCTCTTTACTCCAGTGCACTGATGGACATGTATTCTTGGTCTAGTATGGCAGAGAGACAACCTGGCCATTGAAGCCTTGAAGAGTTTTTTGTTTGTGGCCACAAATTGCTGTCATAGTTTCCACATTTCTGGACTAGGCGTGCAAATGCCAACTTGACTGTTTCCAACATCACTTAGTTGCGGTTCTGATTGGGAAGTATTAATGTTGGCACATTTTGAATCGACTGTGTAAATCCAACAGTGTTGTATGTTGCCATGGACTGTGTATTTAAAACAGTCTTGTATGTTGCTTTGGACTATGAAAATCAAAATCTGTCTTAGGTCGCAGAATTAGTTATGAGTTATGAGTTAGATTATCTTCACAGCACTCCGGATACATCCACAGGCGCTCAGTTTCCCCTCTCAACATATTCATCAGCGTCGTGCAGTTAATAGTACCAGTCTCATGTTGGTTAATAAGACTTCGTGTTCATCCAGTGTGTTTCCCATGTTTGGTTGTGCCGATCTTTACTCCCAATTCGCGTATTCTTAGAAGTGATGTGGACACGTTGCTTCCAAAATCCTCAGAACGTCCTATCTCTCTAAGGGCAATGACAATGTCTGCGTGATCCATGGGCCGGCCATCTTCAATTAATCAGTGCCTGCCAGTCAATCAGCTCTCTCATTACCAACAACGCCTGAATGCCCTAGGACGAATATGAAAGTAACTGCACACACAGGAGAATTTTGCAACGACTCAAGCCACTGTCTGCATAACCAGCCTGCCTCAACCCACCGGATCATGCTCAAAGAATCACTCAGCACACACACGCGGGAAAAGTCCGGTGATCCCAGCCACATGAAAGCCTGTGTCACCGCCATCATCTCCATCGTCATGCTGCTGGTAGTCATGGAGAAGGCACCGCCGGCTTCTTGAACTGTTCTGCCTGAAGAGCGAGCTGTAAATGCCCATGCACTCTTATGTCCTCGTATAACTGACCCGTCTGTGAAGATCACCAAATCTGTCTCATCTGACTTGTCACTGATAAGCGCGCAGACCTCGGCATTGACAGCAGCTGGATTCTGCTCCTAACAACTTCTATCGAGCGTCACGACACAGGAGAATGTAAGATTGGGCGCTTTAGACTCTGGTATCCACTCCTCACCTGGATGGATGTCTGTAAGGCTGCAAACCAGCATGATGTCATCCTCTGCCCTACCCAGCCATGATTTTCCCCTTTTAAGCCTATTGCCCTTTTTCTTGAAGATCATATGGTACAAAGGGTGCTTCAGATCTGAGCTTATTTTGAGGTATGCACGAGCCCTCCAGATCTTGATCCTGTAGTTCATGGTAGGGAAGTCAAGAAGGTACCTCATTGCTACACATCTGTCTCCAGTGCACCCTAGAATAACGCGCATTGCTTCATTTTGCACCTTCTTAAGTCTTTCAATCTGAGTATGGCTGACAGTGAGGATGGCAAGAGCATATTCGATGGGAGAAAGTACAAGTCCCTGGAACAGAAGCAGAAGCAGTCTCGGCTCAGTGTTAGCCAGGACCCTAATTGCTAAAAGGCCTTTGTGTGCTTTTGTTATGACATGGTCAACATGTTTTTTGAAGGTCAGGCTGCCATCAAACCTCACTCCAAGGTATGTCATTAGATTTGTTCTCGTCAAAATTTGCAAAATGTGCAAAATGTCGCAGAGTCATAGACTATGTATATCCAAAAGAGTTGTATTGTGTCATGAGCTGTGTATATCCAACAGAATCGTAGACTATGTCAATCCTACATTGGTGTTTGATGTATAGTCATAGAATGTAAATATGCAAAATTATTGTATGGTTAGGAATCATATACTATGTATATCCAACATTGTTGTATATTGTGAAGTCATAGAATATAAATATCATTACTGTATGGTCTGGAATCATATACTTTGTACATGCAACATTGTTGTATGATGTGGAGTCATGGAATATAAATATGCATCATTACAATGTACAATACAAACTATAGACTGGAGTTCAAATCTTGTCAAAGATTTAGGGCACATGTCATCTGTTTCAAGCTGAATAGTTCTTTGAGGCCATCAATGGAGTATGAACCACATCATGGTCATTGGAAACTGTTTGCACCACATCAACGTCATTGGAAACTGTTTGCACCACATCAACGTCATTGGAAACTGTTTGCACCACATCAACGTCATTGGAAACTGTTTGCACCACAGCGTGGTCATTGGAAACTGTTTGCACCACAGCGTGGTCATTGGAAACTGTTTACACCACATCATGGTCATTAGAAACTGTTTGCACCACATCAACGTCATTGGAAACTGTTTGCACCACAGCTTGGTCATTCTTTGCACCACAGCCCTCTGTTTTCTTTCAAGTGGATTGGCTGTTTGCACCACAGCGTGGACCTGCACCCTCTTCTTTCAAGTGGAGCATAGACCTGATCACTGATGTTCAGATAATATTATCTATCTGCTGTGTGTCATGACATTTGTTACCCCTATCTGAAAGCTTTAAGTCATTGACTGATGACATCTGCATGTCATTACCAAACACTGTCATCTAACAAATGTCATCTCATCATTAAATAACAATATCACATATTCAGTCCAATGTTGTAGTGTGGAAATCTTCATGAATTAAACAAATGACATATTTATACTAAGACTTGTTCATTAACAACAACAACAACAACAACAACAACAATGATATGTGGTTAAATTCCCACTCTGTGGTGAAGAGGTCGACCAGTTTGCCTAGCGTTCTAAAGGTCGTGGAGTGGTTTGATGGCTACGTTGTTTGGTTCACAAGTGCAGTTTCTACGGAGATCCTGAAGAACGTTGCCAGAGCTACAGTCTTTGTGCTTTGTGTGATGATCTAGACAAGGGGCTGGAGATTATATGGAGAGAGACAGAGCTATATGGAATTGATCAGTGCAATGAAGTCAACCCTCTCGACCTGAAACTTTAACCTTCAAACTTAAACCTTTAACCTTTAAACTTAAACCTTTAACCCACTGGAGATGTCAAAGTTAAGGAAGCTTTTTCATGCCTCAAACGTAATAGGAATATAGGGCTAGACCTATATTTTATTGACCAAACGGCACTTGGTGGCTGATGTGGTCAGCATTCGCCGGCCGCCTTTACTTCCCCGGACTGTACCTGGTACCCACTCAAGGCTGGGTCGACTTGGGAGCCAAGGTCATTTTGAAAAGAGTCCGGTCCCTGCAGGACTCGAACCCACGACCTTCAGATCCGCAGGCGAGCAACTAACCGCTAGACCACGGCAGTTTTACCGACTGGAGAAGTGCAAGTTAAAAAATTGACTTAGACCTCCAAGCCAAATATGTAGTAGTAGTAATAGTAGTAAGTAAAGTAAATAAAGTAAAGATCCCTTTCATGCCTTTAGGCTTATCGGGCGTATGGGAAGAGCACCCATATTTTTACAGACCATCAGCACTCGGTGGGTAATGTGGTCAGCATTACGCCGGCTGTCTTACTCCTGGTACCCATTTTAGGCTGGGTCGACCTGCGACATCCCATACCACGATAAAAATCCACGCAGCCCGCAGTGGGTTTCGATCGAGGTACGTTGGATTACGAGTCGGACTCGCAACGCCTTAGCCACGGACGCCGCATTAGTAGTAGTAGTAGTAAATAAATAAATAAATACCCGATGACATAAAGTGCCACCATATGGATGAGGATCACCCGTGGAGAGGTCCCAGAAACCGCGTTTAGCCATTAGACCATATTTATGGCCAGGTTTTATTGCGGCCCCTGACAAGAGCCGGGAGTCGTCGCGGCCGAGCGGCTAGACGAGTGCTGCGGAAAGGAAGGTCGTGGGCTCGCTCCTCTGGCGGTGCCGGACTTCTCTTCAAAAATGACCTTGACTCCCAGGTCGACGAAGCCTTGAGTGGGTACCGGGTGCAGTCCCGGGAAGTAAAGGCAGCCGGCGTGATGCTGACCACATCACCCATCTTGTGTCGTTGGTCTATAAAATATAGGTCTAGCCATATTATTTTGCAATATTTAAAAAAAAAAAAAAACGACCAAGACCGTCCTTCCAGAGCCGAGACAAGCAAGAACTGTGATCTGATCAGCGAAATTATAGGTAGCCATTCTGGTTTTTGTTGTT